GAGCAGCTGGCGGAGGTGGTGGGAGCTGGGAGCCCACTGGCACCCCTCAGCAGTGCTGCGGTCCCGCCGGCACCGTGCCCCCCTCTGCAACGCCTGACACCGTGGCAAGGAGCTCAGCCTGTGGGGTCGTGCTCCGTGGTCCAAACCCGGGTGATGCCACCCAGGGCACTGCAGGTCAGGCTCCGCTTCCTCGCAAAAGCCCTTGAGGCAGAAGGTAAAAATCCAAAAGGATGATTTAAAACCCTTTGAAACAACTAGAAATTTCAAGTTTTACTCTTTTTTGCATATGGGAATTTCCATAAAGCTATTTCCCTCCCCAGAATAAGTCGTCGTTTTTCATCAGACCCCCAAGGCTCTGAGGAGGCGTGCCCCATGGCAGAGCAATGCTGTCTGGCATCAGCCACGGCTCCCAGGGCATGGGAGGGCACCCGGGACCTGCCTCTCTGCCTACCTGGGTCTGGGCAGAAGAGGTTACAATTAACCACATAGTCCCCCCCAAAAAAAATACATGTAATTGCATTGTAGCAGTGTGTTTCCAGGATGGCAGAGTTGCAGGCGAGAGGAGAGCATCTGCCCATCTCCTGTTCCTGTCAGGCATTGCCTCCAGCAGGCAGCCTTTGTGCAGAGCAGACAATGGGGGAGCCGACTTAGCAGATAATGAACTTCAGGGGTTATATATTTCTACGTGACCTGCTCACCCTAACGGTCCTTTTACCCCTGGGTCAGCAGAAGAGTCTCGGTCTTTACCCCAACGATGGGAGCACAAAATTGCATCCCCAAGCTTGTGCGGTTGCCCCATGGCTGGCGCAGGTGGTCCAAGCCCCCGGCCGCTGCCCCTGCTCCCTGGGAAGCCCCTTCTTGGATTCACGCGTCCTGCAAACACTTTTAATACGAGCCCAACTCGACCGTCGCTAATCCCCTCCGCTGCAGCAGCGGCGGCAGCTCTTACACTTACCTGGAAATTGCCTTATTTTGCAGACTGATCCCACTCATAATTTTCACCTTGTTTCCATGGAAAAGAGCTGCCTGGGGGATTACTTTTCAGCACGGCTTTATATTTTAACAAGCTTTGCACGCTTTGCAGGGGTTATAACTGTCAGTGGGGAGGGCAGTGGGAAGGCAACATGGTATGGGGGACTCGGGGCCGTCCCTGCGGGGCAGGTACCTCAGGAGCTGCTCGCTGCTGCTGCTGTGCTTGGCTCTGCAATTCCTTCCCCCGGGAATGGCCACCAGGACGGTCAGTAGTGAGGGATCTGCCAGTTAATGCAAAGCTGTTGGGAGCCAACATGCTCGTGCCCATGGGGCCAAGCTTTCCCTCGGAGAAGCCGGTGGGAATCATTCCATGGGCAGTGGCACAGCTGGGACCAGGCTAAAATTCCTCGTGTGGCGCAGAGGCAGTGACCACCATGGAGGTACGTCCCACAGACCCCCAGGAACCCCCCAGCCCTGGCAATCACGGCTCAGCCCTATGCATTCTTCCCGAGCATCAGCCCCTTTGCAGAGGCTCGCCCTGGAGCCCGGCCATGCCGAGCAGCCAAAGTCTTTGCCTTTTTCATTTCTTTCAGCAGAGGCTCAGGAAGAAATGTGAGTGGGATCCTGGGCTTGTCTGCTGCCAAGTGCTGCTGTTAATGGGAACGCTGGCGTGCTCGGCACCAGCAAATTGCTTTCTGGGATTTGTAACCTAATTAAAACCTTTTGACAAAAATGTTTCAATATTCATGAAGAGGTTTTGGAGAGATGCCTTCGCTCCCGCCAAAGCTCCAAGAACAACAAAGCTTTGGCAATAATGAGAGCACTTAGGCTAAGAAAAACAAGGTTAAACTCCCAGCCTTTGCCGAGCACTGGTGCAGGAGGTGCTTTGGGCAGGATTTGTGTCTACCACAGGAGCCGCTTCATATGTGTTGAGAGCAGCAGGAACCCATTTCAAGTGGGGAGCAATTAAGGAAATTCCTTCAGGCGCAGGTCGCCATCATCCATTGCTGGCGCTTGCTGCCGGCGGCTCCCTTCTGTTTGCCACAGCCCCTTCTTCCACCGCACGAGTGGGGTGTCACACCAGGGTGAGTGCACCCCCAGCCACTCTGTGCAGTGCATGGGGCACATCAGGCTGCAGCCCCAACGCAGTTGAGCCCCTTGCCTGGTGCTGCCTAGGGCTCATCAGTGGCAGATTGGAGGTGCAAACAGGGAAGGACGCAGGTAGCCAGCATCTCAAGCCGAGATGTGCTGCGGTGCTTCCCCAAGGCGGTTGCTGGAGCAGTTGCAGCTCTCTGGGACACGTGGAGGCAAAGAGATTTGATTCCTCCCTTGTGGAGCTGGACTCTTGCTGCTGTCCCCTTCCCTTCCTTCTGCCACCATCCCAAAGGACAGGTCACTGTGTTCACCCCAGTTCACACATGTTCACCTGAGTGTCCATCTGTCTGGGCCAGCCACCATCAGTTCAGCACACAGGGCTGGGAGCAGTGGAGCTCCCTCCAGCCGTAACATCCCTTGCTTAGATCAGGAAGAGTGAGGGGGGGAGCGGGATGTGGCTCAGCATGCTCCCGACCGGCGGGAGCGAGCAGCGGGTCTGTCCTTGTGCGCAGGGTCGTTCCTGCTCCATGTGCTGCAGACCCCAAGTTCGGCTGGGGCCGGTGGTGGCACATGCAGAACCTCCTCCCCAGCTCTAGCTGTGGGGAAGGGGACGGGGAAGGGGACATTTGGCCGTCCTGGGCCCTTCACCGTGCTGAACCTCAAGAAGGTCCTTGGATGAGGCTGCATTTGGCAGTAGGACTGGACGGGTTTAACAGGGGAATCCTTCCAGGCTCTTCATCACAGGAGACATAAAACCAAAGTCGTGGTGGTTCTCAATGCTCTCATTGTTATTTTTGTATTATTACCTGACATTTCCAGAAGCCCAATGCTCTGAGCAGCAGCAGGTGGGGCAGCTCCTCTGCTCCTACACTGCTTCAGCCATTTGCTCATCCCGTTTCCGAAATGGTTGTGTGCTGCTGCTGGGGTACAGGTAATGCAGCCCTGGTACGGAGCCAGACGGAGAATGACATCTTTATGGCCATGCTGGGCAGGTTGTTATCACCTGAAAAGCCCCTGGGGTGCAACCCTGACTGCTCTGCACTAGCCACCTCTCTGACAGCCGGTTGTCTCCCCACAGCTGCTGTTTCAGGAGACCAACCCCGGCGTGCGGTACCAGTACACCATCCAGCGCCCAGCAGACAGCGAGAACGAGATCGAGCAGGCGGAGTTCCTCTGGCGCTTCGGCTCCTGGACCACGTGCACCGCCACCTGCGGGACCGGTGAGTCCGGCTCCCACGGGACCCTGGGGCTCGGCCGCCTGTGGTGGAGGAGCAGAGCAGGCAGAGCATCTCCATACCGCAAGGATGCCTTAGAAATTCCTGGGTCTTTGGTTTCAGGAGGTCTTGAGGGGGGGGAAAGCGACATCTGCTGAGGTCACCACTCTCCGGTGCCCCCACCGTGCTCTCCTGCCGGACCCTGTGCTTTATCAGTATTTTGCTCCTTGCTCGGTGTCCTGTTACCATGCTGGGTGTTCCTCACGTCAGGGTGATGGAGACAAAAGAGCTTTAGAGAAATCTAGGGAGTGTTGAAGGGCCGGTCTCCCGCCTGGCTGGGCCTCTCCAGGGGGGATCGTTTCCAGGGTTTTACAGAGAGCACATGGGAGAGTGCCTGGCATGGGCAGAGCACCAGGGTCCTGCGCTGCCCCGTGGTGTTGGACAGTTGCTTCCCCCCCTCCCGCCCCACTGCGCTGCTGGCTGGGCATCCCGGGGTCCCTGGGGCAGCTTTTGGGGCGGTCGATGGAGGGGGACAGTCTGGGCACGCTGCAAGGGGGGAGGCTGGGACCAGCAAGTGCTTCCTCGAGAGCAGCTGCTACTGAAAAAAAGGGAATTGAAGGACACTCATACTTTCTAGGTAGCACAGAGTGCCAGGAGATGTTTCCTGCCTGTTCCTGGGAGACAGGTGTGGATTCCTGCTTGGAGCAGGAGGGTTGTGGTGCAGCAGGAGGTGGCAGGGCTTTTTATGTATATTTACACTGAGAGCTCTTCACTGTGGGTTTGCATGGGCCCTGCAGTATGGGGAGTCGAGGAGGATGGAAGCTGAGGGCACTTGCTTTTGTTTAAAACCAGCTTTCCTTTGCAAGGTTTGTGTGCTTGGCTTCCAGAACAGAAGGGAAATACAGGAGCAAATCAGGCAGGAGTCAGGTGAGGATGCTCACCCTGTCTGGCCACAGGTGAGCAGCTGGAGGAGGGCTGAGCCCCGCTCCCTGGGCTGGATGGCGGTGTGAGCCGAGACATGAATTTGGGAGAGCTCCAGGACCCCAGCCCCGCCAGCCCCGTAAGCTCCTGAGCACTTGAGCCAGAGTACAACTCAGCAGCTTCAGCAGGGTTGTATCAATCTCAGCTGATTGCAGTGGTTATTATTTACAGCTCTCCCAAGTCACAGGTCAAGTGTGTGTTGCAAAAAGGAGGACAAAAGCAGGCAGCGAGGCAGCGTGTTGAGGGTGAGGTCATCCTGAAAAATGTCGTCCCATGAGCGCTGCAGACTCGGGGCAGGAGGCTTTGGCGGGTGATTTATCCATGAGCTGTGGCTGGGGCAAGAAGGCTGCCAAAAAAGAACTGTGCTGCTGTCAGTTGGCTCTCCTTTGGACACAGCCTCCCCGAAAGCCTCAGTGTGGGTGTGTATACGTGCACGCATGTGCTTCGATGGCTGGATGTGGCTCTGGGTGGTGGTGCCAGGACAGTGCTCACCCCGCGGGCTGCAGCATCTCCACCATTCACTGTCCTGCCCTGCATGTGCTCCTCCGTGTGGCTTCGGCAGCCCAAACTCATGGCGCATCCTGCACCACGGCTGCAGAGGCTTTTCTCAAGGGGAGAGGTGGGGAAAGGCTTTTCCCCCTGGCCAAGAGGTCCCTCTGGCAGCAGGGTGTTTTCTGCAGAGCCTCCACCGGCTGCATCGCTATTAAATCCCATTAGGCAGCTTGTTGAAGGGCATTTTTCTGCATCTCTTTCATCTCACTGCTGACTATAAGAGCTGTAGGATAGTAAAGGTTTTACTCCAGAGATTTCTGCTCAGCATCTCGCTCAGCAATGCCCCTTGCATTGCCTGTGACCAAAGGATGCAGCCGGAGGCCACCAGGACCAAGCTGGCCTTGCAAAAATCGGAGAGTGGGAGCCAGCAGAAGGGTGGAGATGTTCCTGCTTTTAACCCATCTTGTCCCTGTGAACCGCTTGGCACAGAGACAAAGCACCAGAAGTGCAAGCGGAGACATCCCGTGGAGTTTGCGAGGTTGAAGCAAGCCATCTCTCTGAGTTTGGGGTCTGCCAATGGTTCTGGACACAGTTGTCCTCACCTTGCCTTCTGTGGAAACTCTTGCCATTTCTTGGGTATCTCCTGACATCCCTAAGCCCTGAAAGAACAGGTATAATCCGGCAGCTTTTTTCTGAGGGAGAACAAGATTTGCCAACTCTTTCTGTGATCTGTTTTTAGCTTTCTGCATGAACAGCCCTGGACTCGGTCTCAGGGCAGGAGCCAAGGTTTGCCTTGTGCTGGACAGACAGACACTGTGTCCCGCCAGCCCCAGGGAGGGGCTTTGGCTGCAGTCTGCTGCTTGTAATGCCTGGGAGCCCGTGTCCCAGCTGGACCGGTGTTGCTTACTTCCATCCATCCATCCGTCCATCCATCCATCCTTGCATCCATCCAGTCCCAGGTGTCCCTGCTTTGCAGCTGTGTATCCAGGGTCGTTTTCCAGCCCAGTTAAGTTCCATAGGTCTCATCACACACGTGTCATATTGAGACCAGGTGTCCAGCTCTGCTTTTCCCACCCAGGTACACTGGGAGCACTGGTGCCATTGGACTCTGTGAGGGCATCGGTACCTCAGCAGAAGTGGGCTCTCCACTTCCAGTTTCAGTGATGGTTTCATTTTCTTTCCCTTGTTTTTGGTGGCTCAAGCTTACCTTAGGGCCTCCTCTCGCCTGTTGGCAGAGGATGCTCGGTGGTTCGGTTCGATTTTTGTCTCAAGCCAAGCCCTTGCCTGTGTCCGCAGGGGTGCAGCGGCAGATCGTGCACTGCGTGGAGAAGCTGGCCGGCATCGTGGAGGAGCGGTACTGCGACGCGCTCACCCGCCCCAATGACCAGCAGAGGACATGCAACGAGGAGCCCTGCCCGGCCAGGTCCGCTGGATTTCGCCTTGCTCCTTCTCAGCAAAGCTTTAATGTCCAAACTGCCCTAAGGGCGTGACTAGATTTGGGGGGATCTCGGCCGCTGCTGTGCCCAGATTGCACCAGGACACGTGCAGCTATTTGCACCCCTGGTTTTGCACCTCTCCTCTCCCTCATGCTTGAGAATGGGTCCCAGACCCTGCATTGGTCCTTGGGATCAAATCCCTGTGGTTGCCCGAGTGCCGCAGTGCGTTGCTTGCCCGCAGACCACAAGCTGCATGGGAAGGCACCATCCTGGCAGGGCTGGGAGCCCCTCTCTGCCTCTGTGCAAATAACCATCCCCGGCACAACATGGGGACTAATCCATCCCTGACCCTCAATCTGGGTGCCCTGACCTTGGGCTGAAACACAAGCCTCAGCTGGGATCCTAATTCCCCATTGCCCCAGGCCCCGCTGATCGTTACAGGCTGCTGAAGCCTGCGTGCATCTGGTGTACATCTCCTGGCCCCAAACACCTCTCGGTTCGTGGTGGCTAAAACCCACCACCCTGCAGCACTCAGCGCGGTGGGGCACGGGACAGAGCCCAGCTCGTGGCCGCTCGCTCCGGCTGAGACATTTTCCCTTCCACGTTTCCCCAGGTGGTGGGTCGGCGAATGGCAGAAATGCTCGGCCACCTGCGGCCAGTCAGGGCTGATGAAGAGGACGGTGCTCTGCATCCAGAGCGTGGGGCTGGACGAGCAGAGGGCCTTGCAGCAAGCAGACTGCCAGCACCTCTCCAAGCCAGACACCACCGCGCCCTGTCACCGGGAGGTCCCCTGTCCCTCCCAGTGGGCCGTGGGGAACTGGTCCGAGGTGAGAAAGAGCATCGGGGAAGTCCCAGTGTCTTGCAAAGCTGGGGGAGCTGGGGACAAAGTGCCCTCAGACATCCTCAGCCTACCTGAGAGTGATGGGTGTGCTCCTGCTTACAGGGAAAATTCATGGATGTGTTTCTGTGGCTCACACTGTAACACCAGCTCACACGGATGGGAATTTCGTGGCACAGGGAGGTCTCAGAGTGAGGAAGGAGCTGTTTGACTCTGCCCCACCCTCTCTGAAGGATGCTCCATGCTTGATTGCAAGGAGGGCAGAAACAAGAGGTTTTCAACCCTTTCATGTATTTTCCAGCACCACAAGCCTTCCCTTTTGTTTTGGCAGAAGCCTTAAAGATAATTCTTGCTTGCTGAACCAGGGCGTTAGGGGCAAGCCGGGGTCTGGATGCACTGTGCATGTGTGTGCTGGCCAGTGGGCATCTGCTCCCCAGCAGTGTGACCTGGTGCTGGGGCAAAGCTGCCCCGTCTCTGCTGCAGGGGTGGGCAGAGACCGCCTCAGTAATGCTCCCAGGGAACGGGGTGGGGCATCACAAATTTTTCAACAATTTTTTTAAAAAGAGAGGGAGAGATCAAAAAAACCCCAATGTATAAAATGCCATGGTCTGTGGACACCCTCTGTAGCCTTTATTTATTTTTGTGTTTCTGTGGATCAGCTTAATCACAGGTTGAGGGTTTTAATCAGAAAATTGTAACTCCTAATTTAAGCAGCGGTTTCAGAAAGTGTTCAGTGTGAAGACAAGTATCGGGAGAGAAATGAGAGAGCCTGGGAACTGAGCTTGTTGCTAAGAAACAAACAGAATAAAAATGCGAACAGAAAATTTGAAGGCTAAATGAGAGCTATTTAGAAATATTTTTCTAGGGGCCCACAAAAGCCACAATTGCAGGGCTGAGAAAGAAGGCTGCAATAGTTTAAAGGGAAAATCATGAATTGCCTGCAGGTCTGTGCTGTGCACAGAGCCAGCCCAAGCTGTCACAGTCATCCTCTGTGGTGTTGACATCGACGGATCTGTGAGCTCAGGAAAAATGTGCTTGAGATTTTGAGATATCTGTAATTTTTCTGTCCTTTCACTTAAAGTGAGAGCTCTCCTTCTTCTCCGTTTCCACCACCACCAGTAAGTAGAGAAATTTGCAGGGCTTGGAAGCTTCCCAGAAATGTGGTCCTTCTGTCCAGCGATAATAATGGGGGGTTGTTGCTTTTTTTGTACTTGCAAACCCTCAGGCAGGGCAGCACGTACGCCTGTCTAGCACAGGCAGCACCCGGGCAGCCTGCGAAGCCAAAGGGGTTATTTGCGGTTTGGGTAGCCCAACAAAGTGCTTAAACACTGGGACTTAGTGCCTTCAGAAGGACCCCAAAGCAATGTATATCCAGCTCTATGGACTTCCCAAAGAAGTTATCGGTGCACTCAGAGGCATTATTTGTTGTCTATTAATACACGAGGGTCTGCATACAGGAGCATTTGTCTGCTGCTGGCCAGAGTGCGTCCCACCATGCAGCCTGCTGTGATGCTTCCTGCAGTCGTGTGCTTGATGCTGAACTCTCCTGCAAGCTCTGGGTGTTCCTCCATGAGGCTCCTAATAGCCATCGTTTCTTATCTTGTGTCCCGGAGGCTTTCCTGATAACCAAGCCTTGGCAAACGAGCCCCCTCCTTCCCCCTGCAAGAGCTTCGATACTTGGAATTTATCTCCTGGATGGAGCTGGAGGCGTTTGCTGAGAAATTTTAGCTTAAGGTGCATGCTGCAGGAGTTGACATCTGTTTTCCCTGATTTGGCCATCCCAGTAGGGTGAAGCAGCTTGCTTGCACCCCTCCTGCAGATGTTAATGTGCGGTAATGTTTTATTTCAGCAACGTAGTGTAGCTGGTGGAAATGCCTGGCGGTGGCCACGTGGTGTTATGAACTGTCCCTCCTGCTGGGCACAGTCCTCAGGGTTGCTTCTGCTCCTACCTGGCATTGCCTGGGAGACACGGAGCTGGGGAGGCTGGCCCCAGCTGCTGGGTCAGCATCCCCTTTGGACAGCCCCTGCCTGTGAGAAGACGTCCCACAGGGTGGGCATCCCACCCGGGAGCCCACCAGGACTGGCACGGGGAGCGGGGCTGGTCCCAAACAGGCACCTGGCCCTTGTGAGAACTGAGCAAAGATGAGAAAGGCTCAAAATACAGGAGTATATACTGTTTGGGGAGCACATCTCCTGGCCAGCCCAGCAGCTCTGCCTGTTCACCTTAACCTCTTAATTTCCATGTGCTAGTGGCTGTGCATCAAACCCTTGCCTCAGCCCATCTGTTTTCATCTAAATAGCAGGGTTTTCATTTTAGTCAAAATAGCATTTATTCATTTATTCAAAATAGCATTTTCAGCAGAAATCCCCCTCTATTGGGTTTGTTTGCCTTGTTGACCATTTGTTCTCCTTGGCTGGGTTGTATAACAAGTGTGTATAACACACTTTGATGTATGTGACTAACGCCCTGTGTGTCTGTCACCACAAACTGCAGTGGCCTGTGGCTTGTGCAGCCCACATGTGATGTTAGTAACGCTATGATTTACTTATCCAGCAGAAAATTTTGCTGTCCTTCTTTCCAGCTTGTGGGTTTCTTTTATACTGAACAATCTCAAAGAGACCATTATGGTGGAGGAGGGGGTGTCCTCAACAAAGCTCCTTATTGACCCTTGCTTTTTCCCTACTAGGACAACACCCATGTTATTATCCCCTGCTTCAAAAAATTCTCTTCTAGAAGAAGAGATGTAATTCATGGCGATAGGTCATAGAAAAGAGCTATTAGATCATCTTACCCAATGCCCTTCACAATGTCCATCTCCTGGGAAAATTGTTTCTGGCTGGAGTGCAGGTCAAGGATCACCCCAAGCAAAGGACCCTGCAATACCAACCCTGCACTGGGATGGTCTTTAATGGGGAGACAGCCCCGGAGGTAGACTGGGCCAGTAATAACACTGCTTACCAGTGTGACCGGTACCCCCTGCTCTGACCTCTAATACAGGGGACCCCATGCCCCAGCTGGGACTGGCACAGGAGATGTCTGGGGACCCAGGTGGGTGGTGGGAGCACAGCAGAGCAACATGGAGCCCCTTCTCCCTATGCCCAAAGCATCACAGCGCATGCGACAGTTGAGTGCCCACTTCGGTAGCTTGGAGGGGCACACCAGTGAGGGGCACGGCCACTGCCGCAGCACTGCTGCCGGCCCCTTCCCCGCTCCTCCTGCTGCACCCAGTGTCGCCCACGCTCCTGTCCCTGACATTTGTGTCTCTTTTCCTTTCCCAGTGCTCCGCGACTTGTGGAAACGGGACACAGAGGCGTCCTGTTTACTGCAGCAACAGCACTGGAGCTGCTTGTGACCCTGCAGAAAGACCCAGCTCGGCAACTATTTGCTCCGTGCTGCAGTGCCAGGAGAAATTAGACAACGCCAACATGGACTGGTCTGGCAGTGGGTCATCCAGCAGAGAGATATTTAATGAAATACATTACATCCCCAGCAACCAAATTGCTAAATTTAACCCCTTAATTCCAAATATTCCGGAGTCCAGTGATGTCAATATCATCACCGAGGAGGACTTCTCAGCCAGAAAGGGAAATGTCTTTGTTGATGATTTTTACTACGATTATAATTTTATCAACTTCCATGAGGATCTGTCTTACTATCCCTTCACGGAGAAAGAGACCAAAGGCGAGGGGCATAAGCCAGAGCTGAGCACCAACGACGTGGAGGGGTCCCATGCAATACCCACTGATGTCCTGCACACCATCAAGCTGGGAGAAGGAGCAAGTGAGGACCATCTGGTGACCAGTGAAGCAAACACTTCTGCTCCTGTGCACGGTGAAGGAGAGACGGAGCCTGGGGGTTTAGCCATGAATGACCTCCTCAGCATGGTCCCTGAGGATGTGGGGACAACCACTCCCGACCACACCATCCCTCACCTCTCAGCTGAGCCGGAGAACGCAACACTTGTGCCCCACTCTGAGGACCACCCGCCCACACAGAGCACCACGAGTCATGACTCTGCAAACAGCCACAACCACCCACCCCTGGATGAACGCCCAGGAGCCGTGCCGACAAGGACCGGTCCTGGGCAGGACGCTCCAGCCAGCAGCCTTGCTTCCTGGACTCCTTACCCAGCTGATCCCTCCCCACCGCTGCCCACTGGCAGGGGCAGTGCTGGTGCAGCTGATGCGTCCGACAGTCTGGGAGAGCCAGGGAGCAGCGGTGAGGGGCATACAAGCACAGAGGGGCTGGGTAACACTGGCACTGAGGAGCATGACGTGTCCGGCTCTGCAGGGAGAGGCCGTGAAGACTCAAGGCAAATGGGTCTTGTCATCACTGGTAATGCTAACAATGCTGCCCCCAAGACCAAGGAGCAGGAAGGGTGGGCAGAAATGCCGGAGGGGATGGCAGGCACGCACTCAGCGCCGGTGGCTGACAAGCAAGCCCATGGGACAGAAAAGGCAGATCTTTCCTTCCCCACTGCACAGGGACCCGGGGGGGAGATGGGAAGGAGTGCTGGCAGCACCCATCCCACTGCGAGTCCCTATCCTGTTGGTGCTGACAGGGGCCCTGTGGGGCAGGCAGGGCACCAGCCAGAGCTCCGCACCCCCGTGTCCCTGACCTTGGCCCCCTTGGTGGCCACTACAGCTTTTCCAGCAGCAGTGTCCTTGTCCCCCACCATGCCTGGGCCAGCCACCCAGCTCACCTCCAGCGGCCTCACCCAGCAAGATGCCCTGGCACCAGCTGTGCCCACAGCCCCGGCTCACAGCCCTCTTGTGCACCCGGCAGGAGCATCGCCCTCCGAATCCCCTCCAGTGTGGTGGACCGTGGGGGTGTCCCACCACCCAGAGACAGCATCACCCCGTGCACAGCAGACCTCCCATGGGGCCCCGCTCAGCAGCACCACGCCAGGAGAGCACTTGCCGTGGGCAACCCCAGGGACATTTACTTTCAGTGATGGGGAGCATGAGTTATCCCAGCCCACTTCCCTGCCGCTCTGGGAGAAGGAAGAGATGGAGAAGGAGGAGGCTTTGCTTCTGCCATCGACCACCATGGCAGCCACTGTGATGCCCAGCTGGGAGGTTGGGAACTGGAGTGAGGTATGTGTTGAGTCCCATTAAAAGCATGACGTGGCCAGTACGGAGGTGAGAGGCCTGTCCCTCCCCTGGCTGGTCTCTGGGGCATGGCTCTTTGCATGCAAAAAAACGTGCATGGCTCACATATGCTCCAACTGCCACTCCGTCCTGTCCCGCTCCCTTGGGCACCGGCCACGGCAGCAGCTCCTTGTGCTCTGCAGTGCTCGGCTCAGCCTGGCCTGGCACATTTCTAAGCAGCCCGTTTGCTGCCTTAGCACACCTCCCGGCTCCAGGAGGGCTGGTTCCCCCGTGCACGGCATTCCCCTGCTCTGCAGGGAGGGTTCTGGGCAGTGGGTGGTGGCAGTACACGGCGGGCAGGGAAACATGCTCCTCACCCGAATCCCTGACCACTCTGGAGGAGCAGGCAAGCACAGAGCCCCCACGCTGGGACTGAGCACCCAGTGAGGCCCCCCTGGCACAGGAGCAAGTTGCTGCCATTTTATAGAAGAGGGTATCTTAAAATATGCCACGAAATGACAGAAATTTGAATGTCAAGTACAAGGCGCATCAAGGCTGCAAATTACCAAAGGGAAGGGGCTGTGCTGAATGAAGTGAATGGGGGATTATCAGCAATTATCAGCTATCCTCTTACTGCCTAGCTGTCCCGGGGCTGCTCTCTGCATGGCATTTGCAGTGACAGACAAATGGCTGCTGCAATTCGCGGTAATGGGCTTTTATCAGAAAGCACAAAAATAACAAGCCTTACGTGTCATGGTGCACCGGAGACTGAGCTCTGGGGGAGTCTTTTAAGAAGGCTGCACAAAGGACCCGGTAACGGTCAGGACAATACTTAGTATCAGCAAAATACAGTCCCACATGTGGGCTTTGTGAAAGGGCATTGAACATCACTCAAGCGCTGCCCGTGGAGCCGGGGCGTTGGAGGGAGCTCTGCCGCAGGGATGGGACGGTGGCAGCACCGTGACACAGAGGCACACGGGTATGTTGTGAAAGCCCTGAAAAGGCTTTTAAGATGGAAAGGCTGCTACAAAATAAATCAGACCAATCTGGACAGCGAGGGGTGGATCCAAAAGAGGAGGTGGAGGCACTGCCTTTCAGGTGGAGAGAAACCTTTGCTGGAGCTTTTAACAATGAAAGAGCAGGGGACAGGCGGTGCTTGTGGAAGAAGGGCATGAAACAGAGCTTTATGAGACAGCAGTCAAACAGTTGAAGCCATTAGTGCTAATTAAGAGAGACCTAACAACAAGAAAAAAGCTAAAGGCATGCCCAGCCCCAGAGATCCCTGGTGCTGCCCCGTTTCCCACCAAGCTGCAGGCAGCCATGGCCAGGACGCTAGCACAGGGCGATGGCCATTGCTGCTGGAGTCCGGGGTTGCAGTGTGAGAATCCTGGAAGCCGAAAGCTGAACAGGGAGAGTCCCAGCCAGACCAGAAACGACTGAAATGGGTTATGGAGGAGGGTTTTCCTCCTTCCCCCAAACCGAGGGCTGCCTGATGTGCAACTGGTTCGAGAGGAGCCTCTTGCTATGGGGAGTTCTCCATGGGGCTGGGTCCCCTGCCAGGCAGTGCCAGGCACAGCCTCCGGGAAAGCTCCTCTCTCCACCTCATCCCGCAGCCCTGCCTGTGCACACCCCCATTTTACTGGCACCCCTCCCGATGCCCACGGAGGGGGCGATGAGCTGAGTCCCCAGGGACCTTTCTGCCAGGCCACCGGGCTCCATCCTCAGCCAGAGCCAGCCATGAAGCATTAGGGGCATCAGGGGCATCAAGGGACAGCCTCGCTGGAGCTGGCCGGGTTGGAGAGGAGCAGCAGTCTGCCTTGTGTGTTGCAGTGCTCAGCCACCTGCGGCGTGGGCGCGATCTGGAGGACCGTACGCTGCAGCACCGGCAGCGACGACGGCTGCGCCGCTGCGAACAAACCCGTCCCTGCTCGGAGGTGTTCCCTGAGACCGTGTTCATCGTGGCGCATGGGGAACTGGAGTAAGGTAAACAGACGTGCAGCTGGTAGGGAGGGTCCCGAAAAATCCACAGAAAAATGAAGGCAGGTGGTGCCTGCCCTATGGCTAGAGCATTACCTGCTCTCAGGGTATGCCCCATGGCTCACAAAGGCAGAGGGTAAAGATTTGCACTTGCCACAGAGTTTAAATTACTTCATCCCACAGTAATCTTTTCATTTTTCCTGCTCTCGGGCTGGTTAAAGAGCCAGGAATTTGCAAAAGCTAAATGAAGAGAGGTTTGAAAGTTTCTGGAAAACATTCTTGCCAATCTACACTACCAGGGTGTGTTTGCAGTTGGGTTGGGTGAATCCAGTATGTTCCATGGTGGGGAGCAACCCTCCTTGCTCTGGATGGGTGCCATTTCTTGGCTGTGCAGATGGGACATCATCAGTTATAAGGAAAGACTTTGTTGCTGTTACAACTGGAAGCCGATTGCTTTCAGAAGGAAGTTAGTGACAGATTCAGAGCTGCACGGACTTTTCTCTAGCTTGGACTAGAGAAAGAGGTGAAAGGAGGTTGAGTATCAGCTCAATCCAACACAAAGCAGAGTGTACCTCTGGGATCACCTCCCTTTGCCAGAGGGATTCCCCCTGCACCAGCCCCTGCCGCCCTTCCCTGGCGTGATGCTTGTGTCGTTTCCCAGTGCTCCAGGAGCTGTGGTGGGGGGATGAAGGTTCGGGACGTGCATTGTGTCGACACCAGAGACCAGAGGCTCCTACGGCCCTTCCACTGCCAGGCTGTCCTCTACAAACCGCCCGCGCAGCTCCCCTGCCAGAGCACACCGTGCCTGGACTGGTACACATCCTCCTGGAGAGAGGTAAGGGCTGCTGGGGAGGGCGCTGAGCGGGGTATGCGGGGGGGTAGCACTCAACCCCCAAGCGTTGCAGCGGGGCTTCTCTCCTGGCTGGGCACACGCAGCCCATGGCTCCTGGGGAGAGGTGAGTGGGCACAGGCGGGAGCGCGCTGCTCCTCTCAACGGGGCTCTTGCACGTAATGCAAGGAATGGGGGGAAAACCCCATGTTTCACACCCACAGTTATCTTTCCTCTCTCTCCCTGGAAGCATGTTTGGCCGGCGCTTGGCATTTGCTTGCCCAGAGCAAATGCTCAGTAGCGGCTGCTGGGCAAGCGTGCAGCCGGGGGGGGCTGAGCTGCCTGCAGCCATGCAGACGCTTCGCTGGGGCCCCCCGATCGCTGCCGGCAGGGAGGCAGTGGGCGCAGCCTGCCTGTTCACACGCTTGCAAAATTTAAGCAGATACTTGCAGCGGGACTGCTGGATCCTCCTGCCTCTGGGAACCTCCCAACCAGTTTTGAGCACCAAGAAAGAAACCACCCGCTAATAGCAGCAGTAGCTGCAAAGCGGGGACTCCACCTGGGAAGCAGGTTTTGTGGGTGCTTATGTAGTTGTAGGGTGGGTTTGCAGTGTATTTCCTTAAGACACCAATGCATGGAGCATGTCTGCTTTTCTCTTGCGCCACTGGCTTCCCCTTTTGACGGCTTGTGTCTCGGCAGTGCTCAGAGTCGTGTGGTGGCGGGGAGCAGGAGCGGCTGGTGACATGCCCGGAGCTGGGCCGCTGCGAGGAGGCGCTACGGCCCAATGCCACCCGGCCCTGCAACACGCACCCCTGCACCACCTGGGTGGTGGGCTCCTGGGGAGAGGTGAGCGGGCATGGGCAGGAGCACGCCGCTCCTCTCGACGGGGCTCTTGCACGTAATGCAAGGAATGGGGGGAGAAACCCAACCCTCAAAACCTAACTGGGGGCTACTGCAATAAAAATCTCCTGGGATCTGGTGCTGCCAGAACAGGGCGGCGTTGGGGGATGGCTCTGCAGGGTGCAGGGAGCTGATGGGGCTGTCCTGCTCCCACAGTGCACGGCTCCCTGCGGCGGGGGCATCCAGCAGCGCCAGGTCAAGTGCATCAACACCAAGACGGGGCTGGCCGAGGAAGACAGCAGCCTCTGCGACCATGAGCCCTGGCCCGAGAGCACGCAGAAGTGCAACCTGCAGGACTGCGAGAGCTCTGAATCGGGTAAGCGACCATCCTGCCCGTCCTGAAAGCTGAATGTTTTCTCTTTAGTGTGGTTATGCTCCCCAAGAGCCTGTGTGAGCTGTTTGGGATAAATGCTGTGTTTTGAGGACATGGCGATAATTGTGGAGATTGGTGTGAAAACCACCCGGCTCTCAGTTAAGGAATATTACCTGGAGAGTGAGCGGCTCCTCTGTCATCAGTTTTATGGAGGAGTAATGCATCATTCTCCATCACTGTCCTCTGCTGTGGCTGGAGACACTTTTCTACCATACAGCACCAGTGAGGGCTGATACAGCGACACCCGGTTAGAAACTCGGGTGTGCAGAGTTTTTATGCTCACTGTGGGTCATGCAGCAACGTGACAAGGTACAGCACAGTGTCACTTGGCATGCTGTGTGCTAGGGAGGTTTAAATGGCACCGTGTTAGTAGGCATTGGGTGGGCGTGCTGTGCACCGGCTGGGTGGTCTGCTTGGTCTCTTTGAAGCCATGCCATGAAACGAAGTAAAGGCCGTGTAAGAACACAGCCCATTTCTGGGTGCAGTAGCTGTAGATGTTTTTTCTAGCCAAGTTTAGACTCATTCTTTATTTTTCTTCTCCCCACCTTTCACTTATTGGTCCCCCCGGATAGTCTGGAGGAGGGCGCCAGCAATAACTGGCCGTGCTGAAAGACGAGCTACACTCAATTAATTTTTCCGGGGCAGGTCGTGCCCCGCGCTCTCCCAGCTGGCCGGCGGCGCGACGCCATCCTGCTCCTGGGAAGGGACCCCATGAAGGGCCATGTAGCCGGCACCAGCGCAGCAGCACCCAGGGTGGGACAGGCTGGGTGCCAGGGGTGAGCCAGGGGTCTGGGCATGAGGAATGGCGGTGGGCGCATGGTGCTTGCGGTTGCTGCCAAATGGGGAGCTGGTGCCGACTGCAGCAAGGGGAGTGATGGGGGAGGAGGGAAAAACCAGTCAGCCCGCTAAAAAGCAATGTATCTGTGGGAAGATGGAGGGGGTGTTTTATACATGAATTGTGTAAGGCTAGCTTGGCTAATCAATAATTAAGTGGGAATGTTATAACCATCTATAAATGTCCAGAGCATTCAGCTCTCAAGGAACTGAGTGTGGTTTTTTACTGGCACGAATGTGAGCTGGGATGTGCTTGTCGGATGCAGCAGCGTCACCAAGCAAAGGGACCGCTGGCGCCTGCCTGAGTGACCACGCCGGGGGGTGGCGCAGGGCGAGGGGACCTGGTTCAGGAGCAACGTGTGATTCAGAAAAAGGGAGCCGGAAGGAAATATCAAGCAATTAAGCTCTCTGACCACCAGAAAGCTGTTTAGTGACAAAGTCCCAAAACACAAAACTTTTGAAACAAGCCTGGGCTCACCATGAGAAAGTCAGATAAAAGACCAGTTCTCCAGCATCTCTGGGTATGTCTGAGCAGATGCTCCAGCGAGTCAGTCCCATTTTAACCTGAGCCATGCAGACTGTCTGCCAGCTTCATTTACCTGCTCTGCCTGCAGCTGCAATGCTCGGCTGTGCAGCAGGTACTCAGTTGGCTTCTCCTCTCACCTTCACTCGGAGAGATATGTCCCATGGCACCAGGCAGTTCCCTATAAGCCAGAAATCTGTGGGCTGCAAGGGTTAACAGCACTTAAAAGGAAAAGCAATATGAGAGGATTAGATGTCATTGATATTAGCATGTTAATCATTAATCAACCTTATCTTTTTAATGTGTCTGTGCAAAAAAAGAAAGCTTTTTGACTGCCCAGAAAGAAACATTAGACCCTCAGGAGATTTACTGAACAAAGAGAGGGCTGAGAGGTGGAGCGGGGCAGGCAGGAGGGCAGCAGGCAGCCAGTGCCTAGGGTGCAGGAGCCAGCCCCACAGCGGCTCCACACCTCCGTGCAGGTCCCCCTTTGCAGCCTGGGACACCCATTCTCATCCTTTCAGCTATTTATATTTGTCCTGTATCCAGCCATGTTCCTTCTAACACCTGTTCTGGAGAGGGCAGCAGCGTTGGCTTTGGTTAACTGGGATTTGGAGACTGTGACCGCTGGCCGTTGGGATGCTTTTAGCCATTAAACCGCTCCTTTTCGGAGGCTGCACGACCCTCCTGCATTTGCAAGTCTGTCGGGCAGTTCAACATTTAGGAAATAATTAGTCAGGCTTGTTCAAGAAATGATGTGCAGTTCCGGCTATTTTTGTCAAGGGAAAATTTCCATGCTGGGCTTGGTGATGAGAGCCATGGAGCCGCGCAGTGTAGCCAAGGTTATACCAGAATAACTGCTTAGATGTGTAGGAAGCACACAAATAAATGTTAAAATCCTGGATTCAAAATGACATAAATGCTCTGGCTGTAGCCCAGGGCAGGAAACGCCTCTTGGAAATACAAACATTTCCTGCCAAATCATGAAGAGGAACAAAACTTTCACATGGCAGGAAATCACAGATGTGTAAATCCACAGGCAGAGGCTCCCAGAAAAGGCATGAAAAAGGGCTCCAGCCCTTTCCTGTGTTTTAAAGGATCTTTACTGCACAAGATTAACTCAGGCTGGAGTGATTCATGTGTTTATGTTAGAAGCACAAGGAGCCTCTATCTCCTCTAACATGAAGTGTACCGATACCAGCAAAATCACGTATTTGTCTTTGTGAGCGATCGTGTTCTCACTGGGCACAAAAATGTGAATAACCCCAGTAGAATTTAAATGTTAAAACCATTATCAGATGAATTTTTAACAGAGATGGAACAGATCAAACATAAACAAACATCTCATTGGCAATCAGCTCTCTTCAATTAAAGGAGGTCAGAATTAATTAGAACCAGAATCCTGTTCTGTCGCCAGGTTATAAATTAATTGATGATTACACGGAGGTTATTTTTAAATGTGACTGTCGTTTTACAGCTGCATCCAGCTGTGAGCAGAGAAGATAAGATTGGCCATGTCCTTAGATGGCTCCCAGGGAGCATCGGAGCCTGTCGGGCACCCAGATGCCTCTGTGCGACGCCCCAGCAAGGCTGGGGACGTTTGTCTTACTCCATGCTGAGATGAGGAACTCAAACAAACATGACTCCAGCACAGGAAAATCTGCGTGGGGGCTGACAGCCATTGCTCTCGGCCACGCTAGTGGCAGCCGGGAAAGCCCTGTGGCTCCTTGCTGGCATCTGAGGGGGCCACTCTCCTCCTGACAGCACAGCCTAGGCGATAGGAGCGGGAACAGATTTGCTGGACCTCAGGCAGGGCTGCCGGGGAGATAAGAGCAGCCTCTGGCTCAGGAAAGCCTGTTGCCCTCTGATTTCCACCCATGCCTAGCTCTGAGCCCAAACAGTGCTCTCATACCCACATCAGCCACTCCTGTTACCGGATCATTTCTTCTAACTCAGAAAGCTGGAAAACCCTCACAGCATGTTTATTTCTGTGTTTAAGTATTACACTTTGGTTTATGGCCATCTTGGAAAGGAGCTGAGCAGCAGGTCCCGCGTGAGAGCTCGGAGAAACTGGCGCCGGTTTATCTAGCAGGTCAAACAGTCTTAAAACACAAAAGCAGCAATTGCTTTATATTGGAGGAGGATGCTAATGGGTGAACCGAGCAAAAGTCACCTCGCTGCTGTGAATGTACTGGCTGTGACTGCACGATGGCTTTTGGCCAAACCTCATCAGTGATGGGTGGAACACCCCCGTTCAGGACCAAACTCACGCAGCCCACGGAATGCTCATCGTGGTAAATGTCATAAAATTAATGATTTTCCTCGTGCCTGTTTCCCTGGATCCAATACTGGGTGGGTCTGCAAGTTCCCCAAATTCACACCAAGCAGGTGTCAAGCAGGTGATGGGTCTGGCTCTTCGCTCTGGCCAAGGCACTTTAGCAAACAGGACTGTTCCCCACAAGTGTCTCAGGCTTTAAATACCAGCGAGGGAAAGGAATTAAGGTAAAGCGTTCAGCTGGCCCAAGATCAAATATGTATAAGCTGGCCGTGGATACAGTTTCTCTGGGAATGGGACAAAGGTTTCCAGCCAGCAGGAAGAGATGGAGCAGGATGGAGTTCAGCCTTGTGTCCCGGGAGCAGCCAGCACAGGGGACTGTGTTTGGTGGGGCTGTGAGAGGGGCGATGCCTCAGGGGGGACCGAGGGGCAAAGCCCCCCCCTGCACCAGGGACGTGCTGGGGCAAATCCCAGACGCTTGGTGCCCTCTTCTGCTGCCATTTGCGGTGCTCCGGGCTCATTATCCAGGGTCTGGTTGTATTTCTAGTTGCCTCAAGATTAATTGGCAATTAAATATTATATTCCTTCTTTCTTTGAGTAGGGAAATGAAATTATTCATGGTGCTGCATGTAGCTCAATTTGTCCACAAGGGATACATACTAGAAATAATTGCAGCAAATTCCAATTTTCTCTGTCATTTGAGCATGTAAGTCTGTATCCAAGTGGCAAGACAGGGAGGTGCTGCTGAGCGAGTCATTAAGTGCCCTTTATTTACTGCTAATTAACAACAGCTGTCAATGGAAAAATGGGTGCTTGGGAAAGGATTCCCCGTTTTTATTAAATGGAGGCGAAATGAATGTTACACATTTTAACCTTATGGAGAAACAGGCTCTCAATGACACAGGCTGGCAAAGGCTGTTCAGACGTCCCCATATCAGCCCTTCCTACTGAGCGGGTTGATGCAAATGCCAGGTCCGAGCAGTAATGGTGCTGTGCAGGTCCCCTGTAACGCGCCCAGATGCCGATCCACCCCGGCCCACCCACGCCGCGTCTGCACGGCGGCTCCCGTGAAAACCTGGGCAATGGGAGAAAAAACCGTAATAACCATCAGGCAGATGGAGCAGGAAAGGAACGTTTCCTCGCCCTGACAAGAACAGTAGGATTTTCTTATTGCAGTGCTGCATGCTTTTTATGTAAATGACCTTGGTTTGACTAGCAGCGGTGGGAGATGCTTCTCCTCCGGTGGTGGGAGATGCTTCTCCTCCCTCCTTCTTGGCAACTGCTAAGTAGATTTAAGTTTTAGAAAGCGTAAAT